CTGCTACTTGAACATTTTTTTAAAATTTTGAGACAGGGTTTTGCTAAATCAGTAAGTTACCTGGGCTAGGCTCAATTTCTCAATCCTCTGGCCTCAGTTTCCCAGGTGCTGGAATTACACCCTCATGCCACCTGTCATTAAGAAGTATTTTAAGAAGAACAGTGCTAGTAGTGTAGGGCCAAATAATGCAGATTGCTTCTAAATGTTCACATTAGCTTTTGAAATCCTTGCTGTGACTTTTAGACCATAGGCTGTATTTGTTTGCCTTTTCTTTCTTTTTTTTTTTTTTTTGAGACAGTATCTCAGAATGTAGTTCAAGCTGGCTTTGAAGTTTTGATCTTCCTGCCTCAGCACACACCACCATTCCTGGGTTTTGTGTTTGCTTTTTTTTTTTGGTACCGGGGATCAAACTCAGGTCCTTGTGCTTGTGAGGCAGGCAACAGAACCACTGAGCTAAATCCCTGGCCCTTGTATTTGCTTTCTGAAGCCAGTTTTAGCACTGGTGAGTGTGCATGATTTTCTTTCCAGTGTGGGAGGGGGAAGGGTAAGGACAGGAGTGCTTGCTTCTTGCTTCTTGCCTGTATTATTTTTCTGTCCATAACAGGAGACTGTTCTGAACAGTTCCATTGGAGCTGTTTTCTGAGAGAACGTGTGTGTTTGATCAAGTTTGTCCACCCAGCCAGGTCTTCTGACAAACTGACTACCTTCCTGTTCGAGGACACAAGGAACAAATGAGACCTGCTATCATCACACTTTGGAAAAGGAGATTTGAAAGAATTAACAAAATAAGTACATACTTTTTTTTGGTATCAGGATTCGAACTCGGGCCCTTGCACTTGCAAGGCAGGTGGTGGCACCACTGAGCTAAATTCCCGGCCCCAATGTGTGTGTGTTTTGTTTCAGGGGAGGGACCAAGGGCCTTGTGTGTGCTGGGCAAGTGGTACCACTGAGCAACACTCCCAGTTCCCTTGTCATCTTTACTGGGGAAAAAGAAAATTTCCTGTAGGATATCCTTGCTGTTGTTTCGAGGAAAGATTTTAAGACATTTATATCAGTCTCTGAATCGTTTGTTTTATAGCATCTTTGTATGGAAGAGAAAATATAATGTGTATGTAAGTAATTTTTTTCCCTTCTCGGCATTGTAACTTTTCTTTTACTAGTCTGGTTTGCAGGTGAATTATAGGCACAGAAACAAAACAGTCTCTCTTAGGGATTCACCCTCCCCAAGTCCTACTTTTATTTTTTTTCGGCAGTTCTAGGAATCAGACCCAGGGCCTTACACATGTTAGACCCCTATCTGCACCCCCTTTCACTTCTTTAGGAAGTTAATTTTAACCTGGTGCTGACAATAGTTTTTAAATTGGCCACACTTTTTTAGGGGGTGAGTGGGAATGAAGATTGAGCCTAGGCATTTACTCTACCACTCAGTCACATCTCTAGTCCCTTATTTGATTTTTTATTTTTTAAAACAGGGTCTCACTATGTAGCCTAGGCTGCTGACCTTTGAACTCACAGAGATCTTCCCGCCTTAGCCTCCCAAGGGCCAGGATTACAGGCATGTGTTACCATGTCTGGTCCATATTTTGTTACTGATTTAAAAAAAAAATTTTTTTTCATATTTGATTTTAAAGCCAGGAAAACAGTGTGTTTACACAAAACATTCAAAGCAGTTACTTTGGGAATGTATGGTACATTGCTCTCTTAACTCTGGACAGTATAAAGAGCAGTGATGACACTGGGCCTGGTGGTGGCTTGCTCCTGTAATACTATCTTCCAGGAGGGGAGCTGGAGGGAGGAAGAAGGGAAGTTTGAGGCCAGCTGGTACAACTCAGGAGACTGTCTAAAAAGGTTTAACTCTACAGCTCAGTGTGCCCTGGATTCCATCCCCCTACAGCAAAAGTGGGGGAGCACAGGGACTCTTACCCTGCCCTGCAGCTACTTACCTGATCTTCTCAGGTGGTTTTTTACAGTGTATCCTTCCATCTACCCAGTCAGGTCTGTTACCTCCATTTGTAAACAAAAGCTGTCAATATGAAATTATTTTGTCCCTCCCCCCTTTTTTTTTTGGTACGGGGGATCAAACTCGGGACCTTGTGCTTGCGAGGCAGGCAGCAGAACCACTGAGCTAAATCCCCGGCCCTGTGCTCTTTTTTTTTTTTGAGACAGTGTCACTGTACACTTCAGACTGGCTTTGAGCCCACTACATAACCCAGGTTGGTCTCCTCGTGGCCATCCTTCTGACTTAGCCTCCTGAGTGCTGGGATCACAGCGTGGAATACAGTGCCCCACCTAACAGTATTCCTTATAGCCAAAACAAAAAAATAAGCCAGACCTGGCAGCCCACGCCTGTAATCCCAGCATTTGTAAACTTGAGGCAGGAGGATCCACAAGAGTTTGAGGCCAGCCTGGGCTACATAGCAAGATACTGTCCAAAAAACCCAAAACAACAACAACAACAACAAAAAACCCCAAGCCCATATATGCTGCATTGTCTTCACATCTTCGTATTCTCTTTTAATCTGGAATGGTTACTCAATCTGTTTCATCACATTGATGTTTTTGAAAAAGTACAATACTTATTTTGCAGAGAGTTTCTCCAATTCCATCTGTTTGCTGTTTCCTCTTGATTAGATTTGGGCCATGCATGGTGGGCTGGAACAAACACTGAGGAAGTGGTGCTGTGTTCTTGGTACCTTCCACCAGCAAAGTGGGTGCTGTCCTTTACAGCCATTACTGGCTACACTGACTTTGATTTATTTCTCTGCTGGAAGTTACTCTATTCTCCTTTGGCAATTAAGTAACTTGTGCTGAAATACTTGAGATATTACAAATATTGTATTTAGTCATTGATGTTCATGTCCAAGTTTTGTGTTCTGATGGATGCTAAGTGTTGATTTTTTTCAAAAATTGTCTTTCCATGTTGATACTGGCTTTCTTCTATAAGGATGAGGTTTTTCTTTCATGTACCTCATCATTAAGCCAGAGACTCTTGAACATTCATAGGTTATAATCATATTGTAGGTTATAATCCTGCTCTTCATTTTGTTCTATTTATTGTTTGTTTTTACAGTACTGGAGATTGAAGCCAGGGGTGCTCAACCACTGACTACGTTACATCCTCAGCTCTTTTTATTGTGAAACAAGGTCCTGCTGCGTATCCCAGGCTGCCCTCCAGCCTGCAGTCCTCTGGGGTCAGCCTCCATGTAGTTGAGAACACAGGCGTGAGCCATGGCAACAACAGCTCAATTTTTTTTTCCCCAAATTTGGCCACTGGGGCCTTAGAAGCTGTAAGCCTTTTTTTAAAAAAACATGTCCACATCACTCTTTGAGTATGTGCTTATGTTTGCTACAAAGTGGGAGGTTTGTCTTCTAATTTCCTTAAGGAGCCTTAGGTACTTCAATGAAGAGTATTTAGAAATTAGGGTTTGGTTTCAGACCTGTTAACTCGCCGCTCTGAAAAAGAAAGCCTCCTTGATGTTTGTTCTTTTATCTTTAATGAGCTTGCTAGTGGAAGTCACTGTCCCCATACCACCTCTCGCCCCCTCATATTTTGTTCAGTTGAAATGTTTTTCACTCTGTCTTTTTTTTCCCGAGTTAAGGTCTAACTGGGTAGTTCAAACTGGCCTTGAACTTACTATTCGCTTCCTTAGTGCTGCGATTACAGGTATACGCCACCACACCTGGCTAAAATTTTTCTCTTTGCTGAATTTAGGAATTCAGCTATCCTTGGAGATTTGTATGTATTGTGAAAAACATTACCATGGCCCCCCAATTCAACAGTGTATGTAGGGGTATATCCAGAAGAGTTTCACATGCCCCTCCTTTTTATCTATTCTAATTCATGCTCTGTACTTAACTAATTCTTACTCTGGTTTGATTACTTTTTCTGCTTGTTTCTTTTTTGCTTAAATGAACAAATCCATGCCTAGTTTCTGATTTCCCCTTATTTCTTACACAAAGAAAAATATACCATAGATCCTTTTTTCACCTTGGTTATTTTTCACTTAATATGTCATGAGAATTATTCCACACTTACACCTTCATATTTTTGTTTTATAGTTGCATAGCACTCCATCATGTAGTTACACTGGATCTTCAGTGAGAATTTTGGTTTGTTTTCAGTATTTTGTGACTAAACAGTTGCAGTGAGAAACTTAATCCATGTGTATTTGCGTTGTTGGAGGTGTATTTTCAGGTTGAATTTTTTTTTTCTGGGTTGAATTTTTAGAAATTAGATTGCTAGGTAGGTCCTTGTGTAGTTTTTCTCAGGCGTTGCAGAAATCATCCATGGAAGTATCAATTTTCTTTTTTTGGTACCGGGGATAGAAATCGGGTCCTTGTGCTTGGGGGAAGTACCAATTTTCATTTCCACCAGCGGTATTTACATGCCCATTTCTCCATAGCTCCACAAGCTGAGTGTATTTGGAGGGGAGGGGGCTGTGAGAAAGGGGCTTGCTGTGTAGCTCAGGTTGACTGAAGTCATGATCATCCTGCACTGGGGATTTATTTCAGTGGTGCTATGCCTGCCTGGCAAGCACAAGGTCCTGGGTTTGATTCCTGGTACCGAAAAAAACCCATGATGATCCTGCTTCAGCCTCCTTTGTCCTGGGATTACAAGTGTGAGCCATCTTGTTCAGTCTGAGTGTCTTGTTTATATAGTTTCTTGGTTTTGCTCATCTTAGAAATGAAAAGTATATGAGAATGACATCTATCTAAAGTTCACAATCCATTGGTTGCTAATATGTTCACCAGGTCGTGTAACTCACCACACTGTTATATACTGCTCTTACTGCTGCTGTTATCATGTTATAATAAAAATGCTAGGGATGGGACCCAAGGCCTTGTGCAGTCTATGCAAATGCTGTACAACTGAGCCACATCTCCAGCCTCACCGTGCAATCAGTTATAAAAAGTTCTGTAACCATTAGTAGCCATTCTACTTCTCTCTCACTTCCACTAGGTACATTAAAACTAAGCAATAACTTTTCTTTTTCTTTCAGACGCAACTGCAAAGGAAATCCAAATTGCCTGGTTGGGATTGGTGAGCATATCTGGTTAGGAGAAATAGATGAAAATAGTTTTCATAACATCGATGATCCCAACTGTGAGCGGAGAAAAAAGGTAAATGATGGGTGGTATTCCTTGTTTTTGTGGCTGTTGTGTCTGAACAGAAACCACTACTGATTTCAGGTAACCTGTGCAGCTGTAAGTTAAGTAGTTAAGAGTTAAATAAAGGCCAACACTCTTGAATTGTAACAGTTCGTAACATACTGTCTCAGTCATTTCTCTCTGGGAATCAATACCTGACACCTACAATTTAAAAACAAGTTAATTTTGGCTTATGCTTTCAGCCTACTGGCTCCAAGGAGAAAGGGCATGGTGGAAGGGCATAGGCAGAGGAAAAGCTGCATCTTGGCTGCCAGGAAGCAGGAGGAGAAGAGAGGAAGCGGGAGGGAGCTATATACCTTTGTAGGTCAGGCTCCACCTCCCAGTGCATTTACCTGCTAAACTTAGTAGTGGACTACTCTGCTGATGAGTATATTCCTTCATGATCCAATCACCTTCCCCCATCTCTGAGCCCAAGGCTTTTGGGGGACATTCAAAGTTTAAACCCTAACATGCTTTATAAGATAACTGTACCTCAGTATATAGTGAGCAGTTTGAAAAAATCCTGATTCTGTATATGCCTTAACATTATATTCTTTATTTTTAACTTAAAATATCTCTAAAGGAGGTAGTAATTCAAGGGAATAAGCTCCTGTAATGATATAACTTCATTTTCTAAGACTTAAATATTTCGTAGAAATCCTTATAATATTTCAGGATTTTTTTTTTTTTTATTTTTGGAGACAGGGTCTCACTCTGTAGTTTAGACTGGCCTTGAACTTACTATGTAGCCTAGGCTGGCCTTGAACTTGAAGCATTCCTCCTGTCCCAGCCTCCTGAGTGCTGGGATTATAGGCGTGTACCACCACGCTTGGCATGAATTTCTTAACCTTTGGAAAAAGTTGGGCCCAGTTCACTAACCCCGTTCCCCATGTCCCAAATCTAATGTCTAGGGCTTACAATGGAACTTTTCTACTGAATGCTAGCAGTTTTAGGAAGAGTGCAAAGGTGTATGTATACATGTTGTTTGAAACTGATCTTTTCTAGAATCTACTGTTCTAATACTAGATGAAGTGGCCAGAGAAGACAGCCTGCCAGTGACAGGCAGTGATGCTCCCTGAAGTCTTCTCCATGCCTGTGGGCAACCCACTGTGGGCTTTTGGGGAAATCCTACCTTGAGCCAGGAGAGACTTAAGGTGGTTATGTATTGTGGATTGTGACAGTCTTACCAATCTGTAATCTGAAAATTTAATTTTGTTTAAAGGGAAATAAATTTTGTGATCCCGTATTTCTGTAGAACTCATTTGTGGGCCTGACAAACCTTGGAGCCACTTGTTACGTCAACACATTTCTTCAGGTGTGGTTTCTCAACCTGGAGCTTCGGCAGGCACTGTACTTGTGTCCCAGCACCTGTAGTGACTACATGATGGAAGATGGTGTCCACGAAGAGAAAGGTTGGTGGGCATGGGCAAGGGAGAGCACACTTCCGAGGATGTTGACAGCTAGAGCCCTTCTGAACCAACCAAAAAGAAGGGAACATGGGTACTCGTTATAAGGCAGGCTGGATGCTAGGTTCTTCCTAAACACAGGATTAACTCCCCTGCATATATTTATCATTTTTGTGACAAAATGGCTGATATTTCAGACGAAGGAAGTACATTTTCTTGTTCTTAGCATTCTTTACAGGTATAATTTGTCTATGTAATACTCCGACTACAGGCCCTTATTTTGGGGTGATAGATAAAATCAGTAAGACAGGAAGTTTTTTTTTTTACCTAGTTTGAGACTTAGTAAATTTTTCAAGGTGACCACAATCTTTGGGGCTGACTACCAAATACATGAGCAGATTTACCTGAAATTCTGTAAGATTAAGATTAAATTGGGCCAGGGATTTAGCTCAGTGGTTCCGCTGCCTGCCTCTCAAGTGCAAGGACTAGAGTTCGATCCCAGGTACCAAAAAAAAAAAAAATTAAATTCATTAACTGACAAAATCAGCCATGAAAAGTTCTACTCCCCTTACTATGAATTTGAACAGAGACAATTTCTGTTTTTACTAAAACTTACATATTTTATTTCATGTACAGTGTGGATTGTTATTAACAAATGACATTGCTTTAGAAATCTGAAAAGAAGTTTCCTCTTTGAGTTGGAGATTTCATGGAATGAACCAGATTTTTCTCTTTCTCGAAATGAGAGGTTTCTAGGCCGGGTTGCAGTGGTGCAGGCCTGTGATCCCAACACTCGGGAGGCTAAGACAGAAGGATTGCCATGAGTTTGAGGCCAGCCTGGGCTACACAGTGAGCTCAAGGTCAGCTTGAACTACATGTGTTTTGGATAGTGTGACTATCCAAAAAAGGGAGAGGGGGTTTTCTAAGATGCAGGTCTTTGGGCTCCAAGTTGGGAATTTATGTTTCTTGTCCCCTTCTGGAAATCCTACACTGTAATTTTTCTTTGGAGGCAGGGTCTGAATTGTGTAGTTTAGACTGAGCAACATAGTGAGACTCTGTCTCCAAAATAAAAATAAAAAAGACTGGGGATGTAGCTCTTGGGTTTCAGCCCCCATTAGTGCCGGGGTGGGTTAGCTGTTTGCTCAGAGTTTTCTTCCTACAGATCTGATTTTTTTTTTTTTTTTTTTGAGACAGGGTCTCACTGTGTAGTTCAGACTGACCTTGAACTCACTGTGTAGTTCTGGCTGGCCCCAAACTCATGGCAATCTTCCTGTCTCAGCCTCCTGAGTGCTGGGATTACGAGTGTGTGCCATCATGGTGGCTCTGTGTGTTTAGATTAATGATTGTATAAGTACTTTGAAGTAGATCAGTTTAAATTTATTGTTTTTATTTTTTAATTTTTGGTACCGGGGATCGAACTCGGGACCTTGCACTTGTGAGGCAGGTGCCGGAACCACTGAGCTAAATCCCCGGCCCCAGTTTAAATTTATTAATGAGAGGATAGTAACATAAGTGAAAGCTAGATTTCTGTGTGATAAGATGATATGCCATGGTCTTCATTGGGCATGGTGGCCTTTAATGTATATCTTCAAACAATTAGTTTTATTTTGTTTTTTACTTGGTTTTACTGGAGATTAAACCTAGTGTCTTTACACATACCCAGCTCTTTTATTTTTCATTTTGAGACCAAGTTTATAAGTTGTTGAATTGCTCATGTTGGGGTCAAATTTAAAATGATCCTGCCTCAGCCCCCGCTGAGTACTGGGATTACAGGCATGACCACCATGCCTATTTTAAACTCAAAAGTTTGTATATTTTACTAAAGTCTTTTAAACCATATTCTCTGATAAGAGCACACCTTTCTGATGCCAATGTTAAGGCACAGTGGAAAGGATTTCTAAAAGTTACAGGATCTGAGTTATTTAGGACCTTGCTACCAGTTCAGTGAATGTCACTTTTTCAAAATTCTGGGAACCAGGCATATTTTAGATTTTATTTTCTTGATATAGGGTCTTGCTATGTAGTTCAGGCTGGCCTTGAACTCACAGCTATCCTCTTGCCTCAGCCTCCCAAGTGCTGGGATTACAGGCATGCATCACCACACCCAGAAATATTTTAGATTATAGTATTAAATTATTATTTGCATAGTTACTAGCTCAGCATCCCCAATGTTGAATTCCACACTGCTCCAAAATCCATAATTCTTGGAGCATGCCAGTATCATGCTGAAAAGCGTTTAGATTTTGAATCTTTCTTTAATCTTGGATTTTCCTATTAAGGAAAACTGTGTAGAGTGTTCCAATCTGTAAAATGAGAGTTAGAGTTAACACAAACTTGAGTACCTTTTTCTGTGTGTGTGTGTGGGTTCTGGGACTCAAACTCCGGACCTTGCGCTTGTGAAGCAGGTGGCAGAACCACTGAGTTAAATACCCGGACCTTGAGTACCTTTTAACAGCCTGCAAAAACCCTCAGACCCTGTGAAGCAAGATTTTATTTTTATTTCCCAACTGATAGATGGAGATACTGAAAGTCACAATCAGTAAGGAAAGAAACACTCAAGTCTGTCAGGAGACAGAAACTACACAATTTGAACCAGAAAAGAGTCATAGAGAAATATTGACAGAAAGTTAGAGTGACAGGGGATTGGTTTTTAAGGGTTAAAGAGAATTTTTAAAAAATAGCAGATACCAGGAGCAAACTCTGTTGAGCACCAAGAGAACCTCTCACCCCAGTGGCATAGGCCTGAGATTCCAGTATCTTTGGACAGTGCATGGCAGGGACTCCTAGATAGGAGAAAAGGGGAGGAGATGCCTCACGGGAGGTCCTTGCTGGAAACAGAGGGTGCTGGGCCCGTGAACCCCCTCTAGAGTTACCCGAGAGGGAGTCCAAAGGTGACCCACTCATTCATTGGTCACTGAGGACACTGGTTGAGGTTGTCAGAGGAGGTACTCCGGGAGGCTGTTGGCCACTGTTCACTGCAGGAACCTGGAGCCTTGGTAAAAACGGATCTACAGGAGGCTGGCAGTGCCGTCAGAGTGGGTACAACTCACCCCTCCAGTACCATGCACTGACAGAGTTGACCTCCTGGTAGCTGGCAGCAGATAAACATTTGCAAAACTCAATCTCAGCATAGAGCAGACAAAGAATGGTAGATGGCAGTGCTTGACACTACCTATTGTTACTTGTTTGGTTTGTGGCAAGCCACGTTAATGAACGTACTGAATCACCTTATGCAGAGGGCAGTGTGGTTTTCATTACAAGAATGATGTTCAGTATTTGGTATAAGGGGTTATAATTGTGATAATGCACATACATGTACAGTGTGTGCAGCCTCTCATCTGTAGATATAGTGTATAATGCAGCTGTGGAGGCTCCACTTTAGAAAAGATGTTTGCTAGCTCTTTCTCACAAAGTCTTAGAACCATGTTAATACGGTACAGTTTGAGTGTAAGGGTGTTTATTAATGTTCTCATATGAAAAAGAGGTAGGAATTTTTTAAAAGTAACAACTTTTTAAAAACATTTTTCTTTTGATAGATTATGAACCTCAAACTATTTGTGAGCATCTCCAGTACTTGTTTGCTTTGTTGCAAAACAGTAACAGACGATACATTGATCCATCAGGGTTTGTTAAAGCCTTGGGCTTAGACACGGGGCAACAACAGGTAAGAACTTTCCTTTAAAAAGGAAAAATTTGAAAGATACTCAGGTCTTACTTAGAATATTTGTAAAGGGAGGTGAAATAAGATCTTTTAGGAAAAGTATTTTTCTGTTCTGAGTTATTTGAGCCTTTATTTACTATCTAGTATATTTTACATTATTCTCATCTTCATTTCTGAGAATTCATACATGAACACAGAATGCCTCAAATTATCTGTAGTCTTTATTAAAAAAAAATGCTATGTTGCAAGTACAAGTAGTTTCTGGAAAAGAGCTACACCTTTTCTTTCTCATTAATCCAAACTTGTAGGATGCCCAGGAATTTTCAAAGCTGTTTATGTCTCTATTGGAAGATACTTTGTCTAAACAGAAGAATCCAGATGTACAGAACATTGTGCAGCAGCAGTTCTGTGGGGAATATGCCTATGTAACTGTGTAAGTCTACTTTAACTTTTTCATGGTACATTTTACTCTAAGATAAGTTGCCCATATTACCTAGTTTTCAAGTTTGTTCAAAGTTACAGTGTTAGTGGGTTATCAAGGGTCCTGTAATATTTATAGTGATGCATTTCCATGGAAACATGTAAATAACCCAGCTTGATCATTGCATTTGTACCCATCCAGATGTTGGGAGCTATGTTTAGTTGAACTCTTGCCATGTACTTTATTTCTGTGTTGTGTGAGTTGAAAGAATGAGATTGGAGCCAGCATGAATACTAAACAGCACCGCTTTGAAAATTTCCCAGTTATAAAATAACATGGTCACACCAACAACTGTTAGTTTTCATTTTAATATGTAGTATAAATGATTACCAAAGAGGACCATCAAAGGTTTGTATTTTTTAAATTTATTTTGTTTTTTTAGACAAGGTCTCACTATGTAGTTCAGGCTGGCCTTAAACTTAACTATGTAGCCTGGGTTGGCCTTGAACTTGCAGTGATCCCAGCTGCCTCAGCCTCCTGAGTGCTAGGATTACAGGTGTGTGCCAACTAAGATTTTACATGCTTTTCCATCTTTGTGGGATGTAATATAGTAGAATGTGATGGCGTTTTTTATTCTGACTTGAATTTATTTTATCACTCTTTTATTGTAGTTGCAATCAGTGTGGCAGGGAGTCCAAGCTGTTATCAAAGTTCTATGAACTGGAGTTAAATATCCAAGGCCACAAACAGTTAACAGATTGTATTTCAGAATTTTTAAAGGTATTTACATTTTAGAATATGTATTATTTCTGTTCATTAATAAATGCTGTTCTGAGTGGTATTTGTATGTAATGTAGGGCTGGAGATTTAGGTCAGTGGTTCTGCCGCCTGCTTCGCAAGCAGAAGGTCCCGAGTTTGATCCCTGGTACCAAAAAAATAAAAAAAATAAACACCAGTTGCTGTATGTAATGTATAGTTCCACTCTTTCAGCATTTCTGTTGTAAGAATTGTATCTATAATGATTTAAAAGAAAATTACTCAGACAGGTTGCATCTTTGCTTTTGTCAGTTGCAGGTTAGCTTATATATGTTAAATTATGTGTCTATATGATTAAGAACAGTAGAGTAAGGGAATCTAAGGTCTGCTACCATAAAACTAATTCATCTTTTCATTTTAACGAGAACTCTAATGTATTAAAACTGAAATTTTAATGTCAGTATGTTCATTTTAACCCTATCCACTCGGTATTTTTAGTTTCTGCATATTTAGATTTATACAGAGATATAGAAGTGGTTCTCTTTTGTTCTGAGTGCTAAAAGGAAACCTTCGTTATCAAGTTTGAACAGACACATAGCATAAAGGCTTAATACACAGCTTCCTGCCATAAAATGTTTGTGCTTGTCCTGCTCCTAGCTAGCCATTAACATGGTTGAAGGAGACATCTGTTGATTGATTCATCTGAACACTTTGAGTGCTTACTTTGTATCAAGCACTGTTTGAGCTGTTGAGGATGACAAAAAGATAAAATAAGCCTTTATGGGTACAGTGCAGTCTTATGGGTACAGGGGAAAGTTGATAGAAAAAAATGTATAAAATAAATAGTGTGTCAAATATAGTAAGTACTGTGAGAGGAATAAAGCAGGAGGGGGGGGGTTGTAATAACAAATAAAATGATTCAGTGCAAAAGAGTGAGGAGCGAAACAATCAGGAAGAAGAGTTCCGAGCAGGTGAAATACTGAATACAGAGCTTGACATGAGGATGTGCCTATGGTTAGAGAACAGAGGGGAGTGAGTATGTCTGAAGTGGATAGCAAGGGAGAATGCTAAAAAATGAGTAGTTGAGGTAGCTAAGAGCCATAGCAGACAGACCTAGAGTTGTGAGAGGTTGACTTTTACTGTAAGTGGGATTGAGGTACTAGAAAGGCTGTAAACAAGGAACTATGTACAGTCTGCCTTAACAGGACAGTTGTGGGTGCTGACTTCAAGACTGGTTGAAAAGGAAGGACGAAGGGCAGACAGGAGTGCATGGTAGCCTGAACTGAGGGTTAGTTGAAGCGCTAGATACCATAGTGTTTGGCTCTAAGATACATATTTTCAACATAAAGTGTGTGTGCCAAGTAAGAAGGGGAAGAAGAGTCAAGGATTACTAAATTTTGTGGCCTAACAATGCAGAAGAATGGAGTTGCCATCAGGATTGGGGAGGAGTTTCAAAGTTCAGGCTAAGGGTGGGTAGCTCAGTGGTAGAGCAAACGCCTATCCTGTGGGAGACCTTGTGTTACATCCCCAGCACTAGAATGAAAGAGAAAATGTTTGGCTTTGAGGATGTTCCACTTGAGAGGTGAAGTTCAAGGAGAAGTGAGAGCTTTAACATCCCCAAGGGAATGGGGAAGGACAAGGGGCAAGCACTGAGCCCTGTTCGAATCTTAGGGCGATAGGAACAACAAAGGGAGTGGCAGAGGAATGACCAGGGAGTTAGGAGAAGACAAGTGTGATATCCAGGAAGCCAGGCAAGAAAGTGATGGTACATACTGTATAACTTAGAATAACAGCTGCTATTTATTGGTACATTTTAGATATACCTAATGATAACACTCACTCAACATAGGGAATTTGCACCTATACATTATACATCCTGCCTCCCCCGGCCCCGCCTCCACTCCCTTCGCTATGTACAAAAGCTCTGTTTCCATTTTAGAAAGGAAAATATGTAAAGAAATCATTGTCAGGGCCTCAGTGGTGCCACCGCCTGCCTTGAAAACGCAAGGTCCTAAGTTCGATCCCCAGTACTCCCTAATCATTGTCAGCTATTCCACTGGATCTCTCTATGCTCTTGTAGCTCATGAGTGTGGTTCACTAATTTAACCAAATATACACATCTCTATGTAGTTTCTACCCATCTTTTCTTTGTTTTAAAATTAATTTTACATAAAAGTATGCGAGATTTCTTTTTTGAAACCTTAACATTTCTAAAAGCATACATTTTGGAAATGAGCACTTTAAGTGTTATATACAGTTTAGGGAGCTAGTTATTAAATGAAATTATGCCTTCAGCGGTTTTATTGCTTGTTCTGTGTCTTCCATCTTTTGCTTTCCTAAACTAATGTGTCTTATTCCTGATCAGGAAGAAAAACTAGAAGGAGATAATCGATACTTCTGTGAAAATTGTCAAAGCAAACAGAATGCTACAAGGAAGATTCGGCTTCTAAGCCTTCCTTGCACTCTGAACTTGCAGCTAATGCGCTTTGTCTTTGACAGGTAAATTTGTGCATGTAGTAGGGCTTGTTGTCCATCGTGTACTATAAAATGTATAGATTTGCCATATATGAGATGATTAGAATTTGAAACTCTAGATTTGAGAAAGTGATGGATAGAGCCTATGATTTGAAATGTCAGTATTTCATGATTTTATTATAAAACTGCTAAGCCAGCACTACATGACTGAGAACTAGAAAAGTAGGGAATTAACCTAAGAAATTACTAAAAACTACCATGACATTCTACATTATTATATATTCGAAGAAAAATAAATTTGTACTGATTTCAATGTTTGCGTCATCATAGGAGTATATCTTTTTTTTTTTTGGTACTGGGGATCGAACTCAGGTCCTTGCGCTTGCGAGGCAGGTACCGGAACCACTGAGCTAAATCCCCAGCCCGAGGAGTATATCTTGTTTTTGGCAGTGCTGGGCATTCTGCATGCTGGGTATGGGTGAGCATGCTACCATTGAGTTACACCCCTAGCCCCCATATATCTTTAATTTTGTAATTAAAAGCAATGGCAGGCTGGGGATTTAGCTCAGTGGTTATGCTGCCTGCCTTGCTGCCTACCTCACAAGCGCAAGGACCTGAGTTCCATCCCTGGTACCAAAAAAAAAAAGCAATGCAGTTTTGTACTTGTGCATATGTTCTGTGGTTCTGAAATAGAATTGTTATATTTTATTCAAACCTTTTAACCTGTTTATTAATGTTACCAATCATAAAACAGTATTGTTTACTGCTAAGAATACAAGTTGGGTTTTTTTTGGTACTGGGGATCGAACTCGGAACCACTGAGCTAAATCCCCAGCCCAAGCATACAAGTTTTTACATAACATTACTCAGTGAAGTCTAGCTTCTGTTGAGTTTATTAAAAACTGAAATCCCAGTACTCTGGATGCTGAGGCAGGAGGATCACTGCCAGCTCTGAGGCCATCCTGGGCTACACAGGCTGTGTAGTTTTAAGGCCAGCCTAAACTATACAGCAAGGGCCTGTCTCAAACTCTCCCCTGCAAAAAAATATAGTAAGAAAAAAGCTGAGAGCTTACACATTGTTTTCTGATTGTTTTAAATAGAAATATAATGGCCTTTCCTCTTAAATAGGCAAACTGGACATAAGAAAAAGCTGAATACCTACATAGGCTTCTCAGAAATTTTGGATATGGAACCTTATGTGGAACATAAAGGTAATATTTTTATGAAACAATTACATTATAATCTTCAAAAATAAAAAATAAATTAAAATGTTCAAGACTAACCTGTGATCTACTTGTGATGAACATGGAATAGCAGTTCACTGCTATTTCTGTCTGTTAATCTCTGGGAACAAAAGGGGTTTTTTTTTTGGTGAAATTAGATATTTCAATTTTCTGTGAATAAATAGCAAAGATTAGACAGTTTTTCAGTGTCTTCATAATGAAGGGTATAAAAATAATCAGCCAGGGATTTAGCTCAGAGGTGTTGCCTCCTGTCTCGCAATCACAAGGTTCTGAGTTCAATCCCCGGTACCCCCCAAAAAAGAAAAAGAAAAATCAGAAAAAAAGATTTTACTTTACCTTAATCCATACTTGTTACTTATCTGTGATTGCTCGTAAGAGTTCTATCCTACTTCTGTTCACATTTTGTTTGTGCTTCATGGGCCTCACACATGCTGAGTGTGCTACCAATGAGGCTGCACCCCCTGCCCCCCAATTCACATTAAAGAATTTTTTGTCATAAACACTGGCAATAACTATGCTATAATTCTTTTTTTTTTATTTGCAATCATCTATTTTGTTCTTTTTTTTTAAATTAAATTCTTTTATTGCTACATTGTAGGTATACAACACAATTACATTTCTCATTGGGAATTGTACCTTT